TGGAAATCAGAGTTTATTTTTTTCATCTAGAGCATGACAGTTGAAACATAATTGCACATAACCATAGAACAGTTTACCTCCCTAATGCAACTCTAAAGGAGCACTGACCATTAAATTGGAACTCCACAGGCAGTAACACCTAATGCAATTTGGTTTTATGAGTGCTGTGGGTTTCTTTTATTGTTTCTCTTTGCATTCTTTTCGGCATGTACTAGCAACGGCTTTTTATCATTCCTTCATTAGACACTTTTGTGCATCAAGGTATAGAAAAGCAGGTATCAAAATAAAAGTACTCATTTTCTCAAAAAGTTAAAACATGAAGTTACTATATGATTCAGTAATTTCATTCTTAGGTACATTTCCAAGGTAACTGAAAATATATGTCTACACAAAAACTTGTACAGGAGTGTTCACAGCAGTATATTATTCATAATAGCCAAAAAGGAGAAACAACCCAAATGTCTATCAACGGATGAATGGATAAACAAATTTATATATCTATACCCAAAACCAAATCTGTTGCTGTCAAGTCGACTCTGGCGCATAGCGACCCGATAGAACAGAGTAGGGCTGCTCTATAGGGTTCCTAAGGCTGTAATTTTTATAGTCAGTGAGCTGGATTGACAGAGTGGCTACAACAAAGGGCTCAAACGTAGCAGTGATTGTGAGGGTGGCACAGGACCAGGCAGGATTGCATTCTGTTGTACACAGGGTCACTATGACTCAGGATGCACTCGACATCATGTGACAGCCGTCTCTGCAGAAGCAGACTACCATATCTTTTCCTGCAGAGCAACTGGTGGGTCCATACCGCCAACCTTTCAGTTAGCTGCCAACTCAACCTCTGAGGCATCAGGGCTTCTAATATATCCATTAAAAAAAAAAAAAAAAAAACTCACTGCCATCAAGTCGTTTCCGACTCATAGCAACCCCTCCTTGCCAGAGTAGTATCTCTACAGAAGTAGACTGCCCAGCCTTCCTTCCGAGGAGTGGCTGGTAGGTCCGAATCGCCAGCCTTCTGGCTAGCAGTCAAATGCCTTAGGTACTACGCTACCAGAGCTCCTGATACATCCATAAAGTGGAATGTTACTTAGCCATAGAAAAGAATCAAGTATTGAAAGATGCCACACATAAAATAACTTTATAAACATTATTCTAAGTGAAAGAAGTCAGATAAAAAAGGCCACATATTACACCACTGTATTTATATGAACATCCAGAATATAGAGATCAATAGAGACAAAGCAGATTACTGGTTGCCAGGGGCTAGAAGAGGGGAAATAGGAAGTTAGTGCTAATGGGGACAGGATTTGGTTTTGAGGGGATGAAAATATTCTGAAATTCAGTAGTGGTGATGGTTACACAATCTTGTGAATATACTAAAAACCACTGAACACTAGACTTAAAAGGGATAAATAAATTTTATAGTATATGAATTATATCTCAATTTTTAAAAAGAAGAAAAAAAACCTATTCATGTTCTAAATTTGTAACTGGGAAGCAGGCTGACAGATATAGTTTGAACCAGGGTTCTAAGCTTCTTAGTTTATTCCAAAAGAAAAATTAGAGAAACTTCATTAAGAAATTGTTAATTGTTACATTATTTTTCAAGAAGCAACATCAAGTGGAAATTCAACCTAAGAAAGCCAGAAAAATATGAGAAATGTTTATGTAATAATCAAAGAAACAGCTAACGTTTGTGTGGTGCTCTGCATCAGTGGTTACATGCTCATGTTATAATTGCCTCACCAAATCCATTTGGTAAATAGTTCTTTTATTCTAACTTTACAGATGCGTAAATATTCAATTACATTTCTCTGTTGTGTCTTTTAAACATCTCCAGGTCAAGGTTTGCCTCTCTTTTGTCTCTATGGAATAGACATATAGTGGGCATTCAATAAATGTTTAAGTGAATGAGTAAATAAGAATTAGAAAGGGCAAAGGACTTACTAATTATCAAACAACAAAGTATATTATACATGTCTGGGCATTCAAATCATACATGCTTTTGCTAATACCGTATCACCTGTCTCCTATCTTCCCTACACAAGTGTTCAAGCTCTAGCCTTTAAGCTAATAACATGTTAGACTTAAAATCTCAAATGGATGCCATCGACAGTAATAATGGCATATTATAAAGCACTCAAGAAAAACTTAATTTAACCAGTTGTGCAAATTATATTTTATTACATACTACCAAAATTCAAGTTTAGTACAACAGACCAAGTGCCTGTTATAATTCAGCCACCACGCTGTGCCCTAGAGTATAAGGATAAATAAATCACTAGACTGAAACCACCCAAGCACCTCTTTTCATGAAGCTACTTTCAGTCTAGTAGGAGTTTACACCTCGTATTTCACACATTGTATTAGTTTCCTTAGCATACAGCTGTATGCTGAGCAAATAATCTGAGAAGCTGGACTATATAGAGAAGGAGGTGGCATCAGGACTAAAGGAAGAATCATTAACAATCTGCATTATGCAGATGACATAACCTTGTTTGCTGAAAGTGCAGATACTTGAATTACTTACTGATGAAGATCAAAGACTACAGTCTTCAGTATGGATTATACCTCAACATAAAACAAAAACCCTCACAACCACACCAGTAAGCAATATCATCATAAAAGAAAAGATTGAAGTTGTCAGGGATTTCATTTTACTTCAATCCACAGCCAACACCCGTGGAATCAGCAGTCAGGAAATCAGACGTCATACTGTACTGGGCAAATCTTCTGCAGAAGAACTCTTTAAAGTGTTAAGAAGCAAAGATATCCCTTTGAAAACTAAGGTTCACCTGACCCAAGCCATGGTATTTTCAGTCACCTCATATGCATGTGAAAGCTGGTCAAATGAATAAGGAAGACCTAAGAAGGGGTGATGCCTTTGTATTGTAGTGTTGGCAAAGAACATTGAAAATACCATGGACTTCTAGGAGAACAGACAAGTCTGTCCTGGAGGAAGTGCAGCTGGAATGCTCCTTAGAAGCGAGAATGACCAGACTTTATCTCACCTACTTTGTCATGTTGTCAGAAGGGACCATTCCCCAGAGAAGACTAAAGTGGAGGGTCAACAAAGAAGGGAAAGACCCTCAACGGATTGACACTGTGGCTGCAGTAGTGGGCACAAGCATAGCAAGGATTGTGAGGATAGTACAGGACCAGGCAGTATTTCATTTCTTGTACATGGGGTCACTATGAGTTGGAGCCAACTCGATGGCACCTAATAACAGTAACAGTAGTTTCCTAGGGTTGTAGCAAAGTACCACAGCTAGTGGCTTTTAAGAATAGAAGTGTATTATCTCACTGTTCTGGAGATAAGGAGTCCAGAATCAGAGTGTCGGTCACGTTGATGTCTTGGGAGGGTTCTGTGAGAGAATCTTCCATGCCTCTCTTCTAGCTTCTGGTGAGTTGGCCAGTGATCCTTGGCATTATTTGACTTATAGATACATCACTTGAATCTCTACCTCCATCTTCATATGTTCATCTTCCCTTAGTGTGTCTCTTGTCCTCTTTTATAAGCATACCGCTCAGACTGTATTAGGATGCACCCTAGTCTAGTATGACCTTATGTTAACTGAAAACATACAAGGTCACATAGTTACCAGGGGTTAGGAATTCATATATTTTGAGGGGACACAATTCAATCCATAACCCATGTAATTTCATCATTTTATCCTTGTCAGTTATCTAGAAGCTGCATCAGATGTAATTCAAGATACTCCAAAGAAATAACAGTCAAATACCAGTAAATTCCTTTATGCTCTGTAGTATGACTATGCAAAGGCATTTGACTATGCATAATTATGACAAATCATGGCTAACATTATGAAGAATGAGAATTCCAGAACACTTCATTGTGCTCATGAAGAACCTGTACACAGACCAACAGGCAGTTGTTCAAATAGAACAAGGGGATTCTGCATGGTTTGAAGTCAGTAAAGGTGTATGTCAGGGTTGTATTCTTTCACCTTCCTTATTCAGTCTGTATGTGGGCAAATAATCTGAGCAGCTGGACTGTATGAAAAAGAACGTGGCATCAGGACTGGAGAAAGACTGATTAACAACCTGTTATATGGAGATGGCACAGTTTTGCTGAAAGCAAAAATGAAGCACTTACTAATGAAGATCAAAGACTACAGCCTTCAGTATGACTTACACCTCAATATAAAGAAAACAGAAATCCTCACATCTGGACCAACTAGCAGCAGCATGATAAATGGATGAAATACTAAAGTTGATTTCATTTTTCTTAGATCCTCAATCAACACCCATGGAACCAGCAGTCAAGAAACAAAATGACATTTGCAGTGGGAAAATTTGCTGCAAAAAGACTTCATTAAAGGGTTGGAAACCAAACATGTCATTTTTAGGATTAAGGTACACCTGGTCCAAGCCATGATATCTTCAGTTGCCTCATGTGCATGTGGAAGCTGGACAATGAACAAGGAAGACCAAAGAAGAATGGATACCTTTGAATTACAGTGTTGGCAAAGAATATCAAATATACCATGGACTGCCAGAAGAACCAACAAATCTGTCTTGGAAGAAGTACAGCCAGAATACTCCTTAGAAGAAAAGATGGCAAGACTTCATTTCATATGCTTTGGACATGTTATCAGGAGGGACCAGTCCCTGGAGAGAGGCATCACGCTTGGTAAAGTAGAGGGTCAGTGAAAAAGAGAAAGACCCTAAACAAGATAGACTGACACAGAGGCTGCAGCAATGGGCTCAACTATAGCAAAAATTGTGAGGATGGCTCAGGACCAGGCAGTACTTCATTCTGTTGTACACAGGGTCGCTACGAGTTAGAACTAACTTGATGGCAGTGGGTTTAGTTTTTTAGTTTTGTAAAGCTATTTTTAATGAGTCTTTAATATTTATAAACTGGGGAGTTCATTTCACTTCTTTAAAGACTCAGTTCTAGTACTTAAATTTTTAACATTTGTCAAAAGCAGTGTTTCTAAACTGCCTTTTTTGTTTGTCTTTAATAAATCTAGCTGGACAACTCAGCCAGTCAGCACATTTAGCTCTCCAACTACCATACAGTGTGCTTGGTTTAGGTCGAAGTGCAAATTTTCTTGATCATCTTTATGTTGGTATACCCCGTCCATCTGGAGAGAAGGTGAGTAAAAATGTATTTTGTTTATTACTAATTTGGTTTTTAATATTCACCTTTTTAAAAGGAATAAAATAAATTGGTAGGAACCTAACTAAACTTACTTTATATTGAGCACATCATGATTTAAAATTATAGCTTTCCATCACCACCACCACCAAGTTCACAAGTACTTCTTTTTTCTGCTCTATTTTTCACCTTATCACATTTACCACCTAACATGCTGTATAGGAGTCCCTGGGTGGTGAAAATGGTTAAAAACTCAACTACTAACAGAAAGATTTGCAGCTTGAAACCACCCAAAGGCACCTCAGAGGACAGGCCTAGCAAACTGCTTGCAGAAAGCCACAGGCTTGGACCCTGTGGAGTGCAGTACTGCTCTGCATCCATGGGAGCCCCACGACTCAGTCAACTCCCCAACAGCATGCTGTGCAGTTTACTTACTTTGTTTATTGTCAGACTGCTCCTCAACTGGAATGTTAGCTCCAAGCAGCATTTGTACATAGCACTTTGAACAATGCTAGGTGAGAGTGGGAATGAATAAATATTTGTTTAATTAATAAATAAATAAATAAATAAATTCATGAGACACAAATATTCATCTCAGGAAAGAGCAGAAAATTTTTAGCAATAGATGATACAGGAGTGCTGTTTTAGATTTGAAATAAATATGTAAATGTCACTTAATCCTTACCTAGGTTTTAAATTTCTCAAAGAATACTTGAACTTTTTCTTGTATTTAATTTGAATAATTTAATGTTTTTAAAAAAATTTTTTTACATGTTCTTAAATTCTTTTTCCAGTCTATACGAAAACAAGAGTGGACTGCAATCATTCCAAATTCTCAGCTAATTGTCATTCCATTCCCTCACAATGTTCCTCGAAGGTAATGTCCTTCCTTGAACTGAATCTGGTAAATACTATCAACTCTGAATCATAAGTGCAGTTATCTCTTTTAAAAACTCTCTCTTATTCCTGCTGTGTTCACCTATGAGTGTCACCACTTCATTTGCTTACAGCAACCTAAAATGAATAAACATTCCTACACAAAGGGTTCCTGACATTCTCAACGAAGAACAAATTAAATCCTATTACAAAAACATCAGGATAACTAATTTGGGATTTATACATATTCTGGTTAAATAAACTGGTTTTAAGTTTACTAGTCATGAATTCTAAAATTTCAGGATACTAAACTTTATAGTAAGTATTGATCTTCTTAATAAAGTCTTTGAGAAGTGGCACATATCCCACAATGGCTGGACACAAATTTTGTAGTCAAACAGACCTAGGCTAGGAACTCGGCTCCACTGCAAACTGTGAGATTGGCAGGTAGTTCCTGTCCTCTCTGAGCCCTAATCTCTACATCTATAGAATGGAAGGCAGGGCATGTACTCACAAGGCTGTTGTGAGGCTGTACCCAGCATATTACAAACTTTAAGGAAATGACAGCTGTTTTTATCCTTGTTAGCACTAGATGTTCCTTTCACAATACAGCATTTAACTCTAATTCTCCACCTTATCTTTGTTCATTTTTCTTTAAATTATCAGGTTGACTCTATTGTTTCAAAAGTAGACAGTGGAGGTATTCACTAACAACATTTAAATTTCATTAGGGAAATATATTACTTGATCTTAAGGATAATCTGATATCAATATGGAAAAATAACCACAGGGAAAAGGTATAATGCATATAGGATTATGTAATCAGTGAGGTTGTATTTGGTACATTCTCTTCAACATATAGGCTTAATTATTTTTTCTTAAAATTCTAGATGAAATCTATTCAGTGCTATGCTAGAGACAGCCTGTACCAGTTTAAACCAATTGTGTGCGTCTCTTTTCAACTCTGTGTTTATTGAAATCACATTGGTAGCTTAAAATTAGCCATGATAGTATTTTTACACAATGAAAATTGGCAAATGCTACAAACATCTGGGCTCCCCTCCCCCCAAAAAAAATGCCATTTTACCACTGTACCACTAGAAGCATTTTTTGGTAGATATGTGGGGTTTGAAATCAAATTGCTTCAGAAAATGACAATCTTTATTACAATATTATGCATGAAATAAGATAACATGAAACCCAACAGTTATAGTCTTGGTTGAGATTTTTTTTAATAAGCCTATAATGTGTGTTTTTGAGGAGAGGGAACTCAGGCACACCCAAAGCAGCAGGGCGGGAGAAAGGGGATTAAAAGCCAGGAACCTGGACAGAGGAGCAGTCAGCCACAGGGATCCAGGTGAGTAGAGGGAACTCAGGCACGCCCGAAGCAACAGGGTGGCAGAGCGGGAGAAAGGGGATAAAAAGCTAGGACCTTGGACAGAGGAGCAGTCAGCCACAGGGATCCAAGTGAGGAGAGGGAACTGAGGCCTGCCCAAAGCAACAGGGTGGGAGAGCGGAAGAAAGGGGATTAAAAGCCAGGAACCCGGAGAGAGGAGCAGTCAGCCACAGGGATCCAGGGAAGAGTGGTATGAGAGGTTTTCAACAGGGAGACAAACCTGTCTGTCGGTTTGTCCTACCGTGGTGATGTACTGATGTGAGTTTTGAGGCTGTGCCACTGGTGTTTCAAACCCAGTGGGATGCACATGGTGCATAGGTATCAGCCCAGCTTACTGAGACAGACTAGGAAGAAGGAAGGGGCCGTCAACTTCTCAAAGATTTGGCCAGGGAAAACCTTATTAATAGCAAAGAAACACTGTTTGATACATTACCGCGCAACTTTATGAATAGTCCAGTGAGGTTAGAAGGCTCTCAAAATAGGACTGGGAAAGAGCTGTATCATCTGAGTAAACCCGGACTTACTCCTATGGATAAGGTAAAGCTTTCAAGACCTCCATTTGCTGATGGGACACCACTCAAATTGAAGAGAAACAGCTGCAGACATCCATTAATCATCGGAACATGGAATGTACGAAGTATGAATCTAAGAAAATTGAAAGTTGTCAAAAATGATATGGAACACATAAAGATTGATATCCTCGGCATTAGTGAGCTGAAATGGACTGGTTTTGGCCATTTTGAATCAGACAACCATGTGATCTACTATGCTG